CTAACGAGAGCCTTGTTCAAGACAACGTCATACAAAGGCTGAATAAAAAGCCTTTTCAACTACCTTAGCAATAGCATTTAACTTCAGAAGGGCACTGTGATTTCTGAACACTTTGTTGGATAGTGGTGGTTTTACAAACCCATTCATTTGTCTGTTATTTGCAATGAGTTGTTGCCAGCACATTTAATGTCGAAATCACAGTCTGTGCTTGAAGGTTACAAAAACGTTATTTACACAACAGAAATGTGAGAGCCCCTGTCTCTTACAAATGCTTTAAAGATCTTTAAATCTGCCTGCACTGGAAGATAGGCTTGTATTTTAGCCATCCTTTGCTTCTTGTGTAATTATGACTGGTTCAAATAATAATGTACAGTATACATGTTAAGTAAAATAATAAGTCATTTACACTTCATCCCATTCATACAACTGCACAGTTCACTAAAGCAATGTCAAAGAAGTATCTTGCTCAAGGATACAACAGCAGTGCCCCACCCAGGGTCTGAACCCACAACTCTTCAGTTATTATACAGAGCACTAACCATACGTAACTATACCTTTTACAGTTCTGCCTCCTTTTCGAGTCCTTATTCCTCAACATTAATACTGTTGAAATTACAATTTATCTCTCCATCATACGTAAGAGACATGCAGTATTACAAAAATGGTCTAGACCCTCAAGCAATTAACAAGTACTATTTCCAATTTGACTTTTTTCATGCAAACTTGGCATAAGGAAATGGCAGCTCAATTACAGTCTCATCTTGCTTCTAATGAGTTCTTTGAACCTTTCTGGTTGAGAGAGAGAGAACTGAATGATATGCTGATTGCTTCCGATTCTGGGTCACTTAATATTCTGTTCCTGGAAGTGCAGCTGCTGGTCCCTCAATCAAACATATTGAATCCTCAATCCTACTGAATCACATGGAAAACTATCCGGGGAATACTAACATCTGCTTTCTTTGGTTAGGATAAACAGTAAATCTAATGTCACTAACTACCTGGGTGTTCCACAGGGTTCAATGATGGTAACATATTGCTTCCTCCTTAGATTATTTGCCATCAGGGACTTCCATTTAATTTCACTCAAACATACTTGTGGAGCAAATCAGATAATAAAATTCTGGTTTCTGCCCTTAAAAGATGTCTCATATTAAGATGAGCTGATGCAACAGAAATTTAAGCTAAACCATGACAAGGAAGGGGTTGTGCTCATAGGCTCTCAACTCCCAAAGATTCCCACAGCTGATGAAATCGGTGAAATTACAGTAGTTAACATGACATTACTCTTTATCCTGTGTTGTTATTTGAACCATATGAGACATAAAACCAAGGTCCTGACTCTCTGTGGTCATTAAAAGTCCCAGTGCATTTCTTGAAAAGAGTAGGAGTTTCTTGAAAATTTCCCATTGGGTCTTTGCCAGTCATGGCCTCCTTATAATCTATCAACTGGCTTCATCACTCCAATCTCCTCCCCACCAATAGCTGGTGTGTGGTGAGTGTACTGGCGCACTGTGACCGCCGTCACACCATCCAGGTGGGGACTACACCTTGGTGGTGGTGGTGGAGAGGAGTCCCCATTATCTGTAAAGAGCTTTGATTGAAGTGTCCAGAAAAGTGCTATATAAGTGTAAGAATATCTGTTATTATAATTATTAATTCTGTGTTCTGTGGCTCTGGTGTTAACTAAAATTGCTTTTAAAAGCAAGAATATTTGATGATAAAAACACATGGATCATTACCTATTTGTTTTTACATTTTTCAAATAAACATCACATTTATACATACAAAGAGATATAGAGCAATAAGCATGTATTCGGCATCACCTTTGCTAGCTAAAAGTGCTCCCAGAGAGATATCCCTCATGACTAGATAAGCCACAAGAAAGCAAAACTCCTATGAAACATCAAGCTTCTCTAAAACAGACTGGCTACAGACAGCTATGCAATGCCGAGGGAGAAATTTTATAAAACAGGCCCAAGCTATCAAGAGTACCATGCATGGGTGCACTTCAGTAGAGGGCACCCATTCAATTGCACTTTGAAAAATAAGAAAGCTGGAATGTGTAGGGGGCTGGTATATGTGTCTGTGGTTGAGGGGGAGTCAGGACGATCATTGTAAAGTTTGCATAATTGGTTAGTAAGCCACTAATTTAAGCTAATGTTTTTTTTATTTTAACTCTTTCACCTCTGAAAATCCAGTGTAGGAATTTTCCATTACGCCTTCAAGTGCTGAACAATTCTGACAGGTTATTAAATGCACTGCAATCATTCATGGTCATCAGTTTCCCTTATCAGTCACAATTAATTAACAAAGACATTTCAGAATTGTCTCCTCCGCTGAATGAAGTGCCTCTTGACCTTCCAAGTCCCAAGACACTGCAGCACTGTCTCCGATTAGTTCACCACCTCACTCGTCTTGATACCATATCCCCATCAATTAAGGCACTGATCACTAACTCACCCAATCTGCTCTTTACCTGAGATGATTTCTGTGAAAGGGTATCTATTAAGGATCTACTAATGAACAGTGGCTATGAAACCAAGGCATAAAGCGAGAAAGAAGCTCACAAGTGCAAGTGATATTTGCTCATGTAAGTTAAATATATAGTGCCTCACAAAAGTATTCACCCCCTTCATGTTCCATTTTGTTGAATTACAAATGATGTACACATTTTTTATGTTTTTGGAAATTTGAAAGCTGAAGTTTTGAAGGTGTTTAAAGTTGTCAGCAAAAACCACAAAGAAAACTCAAAAAGTAAAATGTTGATTGCCTCAGTCAATACTTGGTAAAAGCTCCTTTGTGAGCAACTTTCAACTGCAATTTTTTTGGGAGAAAAATAATCTCTACTAACTCCACACATTGTGATGCTTAAATTTTTCTTTGCACACTTGCTCAAGCTCCGTCTCGTTGGTTGTGGATTGATGACATAAAGCAATTTTCAAGTCTGGCCACAGATTTTCTATGGAATTCAAGTCAGGATTTTGACTTGGTCATTCTGGCACTTTGACCTTGTGTTTTTATTGTCCTGCTGAAGGGATTTTTCTGGCTCGTTTTGCTTTTTTCAGCACACTGAAGCAGATTGTCTGCTTGTACTCTGTGCCATCCCTTTTGCCCTCAATGGCAACAAGCTCCCAGTCCCTGCTGATGAAAAGCAGCTACAGATGAGAAGCAGCCCCATTACATAATGCTGCTACCACCATGCTTGACAGTTGGGTGACATACTGTGTTGGGTTTGGATCAGTTGTAATGCTTTGCATTTAAGCCAAAAGCTTCCAATCTAGGAAGTGCCTGGATAGTGTGATACACCTTGCAATACTCAATGATCAAAGGGATAGTCGGTGTCTGATCTTTTCACCCTTCCCCTCATGCCATTATACAATCTTTACCCCTTGAGTACTTAAGCAATCAACATATTTACATTTTTGCTGACTTTTAACTCCTTTTACCCATACAAATGTTCAGTCTGAGTATTTAAACTTTAATTAAAAATGTTTCTGAAAAAAAGTGGAAAGCCAAACCCAAAACAAATGGCATAACAAATCAAAGAATTTCCATGCAAAAAGGTCAAGTGATATGTGCATTTTAGAACTTTTAAACATTTGATGGCATGAAGGCTGTACTACGAAAAATGGCTTTCCCACTGGGATGTTGTGCGTTCCACAGATGGAAACCAAAGAGCCCTTTCAGAAAGCAGCTCAGTATCCATGCTGGTGATATTAAGACTCTAAAAGCTTCCTGGGGCTGCCTGAGAGCCATACAAAGGTCACAAAAGAAACACGTGCTGTGTCCTGTATTCCACAACATATGGCACTGAGTTCTCTGCTATTATTTATTTTTTCTTTGTTATAAAATATAAGAATTCTCCATTGTTTATTCCCTCCGCAGCTCCTAGCACTATTTTTCCATTTCTTTGATACAGACAATTTTAAAAGGAACAGGCTAAAAACGTTTTACAACACATGATACTTAAAATTCTATTAAAACAGCAATTAAGTTTTACTTTCCATATTTACATCCTCCACTTTGCAGAAGACTGGAAGTGAGTTCTGGGTCTGGAGCTGCGCATGCAGCAGAGGATACCAAATAATAAACACATCTGAGTTCCTTTGATGTCAAGGAAAATAAATTTTGTTCAAAAACACCTTTTGTGCATATGAAAATGAAACACTCGGAAACAATGGCAGTAGTTTCCATAGTTATAGTTAAACTCACTCAGATGGGTATTTTATTTTGGATATGTACTGTATCCAGATTAATTTATAAGCCTGTATTTAATATTATTATTAATTGCTTACACTTAAATAGCCCTTTTCTGGACACTCCACTCAAAGCGCTTTACAGGTATTGGGGACTCCCCTCCACCACCACCAGTGTGCAGCCCCATCTGGATGATGCGACAGCAGCCAGAGTGCGCCAGAACACTCACCACACATCAGATATCAGTGGGGAGGAGAACAGAGTAATGAAGCCAATTCATAGAAGGGGATTATTAGGAGGCCATGATTGGTAAGGGCCAATGGGAAATTTGGCCAGGACACCGGGGTTACACCCCTACTCTTTTTGAGAAACGCCCGGGGATTTTTAATGACCACAAAGTCAGGACCTCTGTTTTACGTCTCATCCGAAGGACGGCGCCTTTTTACACCATAGTGCCCCCATCACTATACTGGTGCATTAGGACCCACATGGACCGCAGGGTGAGCGCCCCCAACTGGCAGCAGCAACCTTAGTTTTTTCCCAGGAGGTCTCCAATCCAGGTACTGACCAGGCTCACACCAGCTTCAGTGGGCTGCCAGTTGTATGAGTTACAGGGTGATATGGCTGCTGGTAAAAAGCCATCTTTCTCGCTTTTTCTTTCGAATCAGCTCTATAATATTTTTTACCCTAAATAATGTGACTTGTTGCCCCTTGTACCCTCATCCTGCTTTGTTGCATTGGGGAAATGTGTGCTGCTTCATGCCCTGCAGAGCTGGAGTCGCTGGCGCGAGCAGGGTGCTCACCTGGTCCAGCCGTAGGGCCCCGCCCTCAAAGCGCTGCCGGCGGAGCTGTCTGGCGATGCCGTGCAGGCGGAGTACAGCCCGGTGGACCTCGGAGAGGGCGTGCTCTGGGGAGCACGGGGGCAGCTCTTCGGCTGAGAAGACCTTCTCCGGGTTGTCAATCATGCTCTGGGCATGGTCGTAGCTGAGCTTCACGCAGGAGCGGATGACCGTACGCCCACACCACTCGCTCAGGATCTGACAGAGGAAGGGGGGAATGCAAACATTAAAAGACAGACCAAAACAAAACATGGCCTGTTTCACGCAATCAGCCAGGGAATCGCAGTGGCACTGTGGCTGAGACTGCCTAAGTGACTGGGATTTCCCGCTGATCATGACAGCCCACAGCTGCAGTTTCCTTTAATAATTACATAATACGTTTCTCAACATGGTGTACTGGTGCCAGGTGTCCATGACACCCATTTCCAGCTGGTATTTAAGCTGGTATTAATTTACCAGAATTTACCAACTGCACACTTGATACGCATACTGTACATATGTACCATAGACTATTTACACATTCACATGGCTACTTCTGGTTTACACTGAACACTTTCCAGAGTTATGGCACCTTTTGTGGACCATCAGGCACTGTGAATAATGGCAATGTCAATATTAATTAGGTCTCAATTCACATTCCCCTAATAAAGATGTATACATACAGGCAGTCTGGTATTTACACACACAGTTAATGTGGGAAATTTATTTAACACATCTCAGAAATAATTGTATCTTAGTTAAAAAGAGAAGTAATTCTTCCTAAATTAACTCGCTTTGGTACAGCCAGCTACAGGACACAACTTGTCCAGGAAGAGCTCTGTGTTCCCAGCTGCCTTCAGATGAACAGAATTGCCTGGGTGACCTTGGGCTCTCTGTTTTTTTAGCCACCTATTAACCCTCATCAACTTACCATTAAGGTAACTATGCGGAGCAGTGGCACTGTGACTAAGGATCTGCACCTGTGGCTGGAAGGTTGCAGGTTGCAGGCAGTGAAAAGACATTCCACTGCCTGCAACTACTGCTGCACGCTGTATTGTTATGCGTTTGATAAATAAACTTTGATTTGAGGTTCAAATTCCATGGTCAGCAGAGAAATCCTACTCTGTTGAGCCCCTGAGCAAGGTCCTTAACCCCAACGGGTTGCCATTTAAATGGCTGACCCCGCGCTCTGACCCCAAGTTTCTCTCTCCCTGTCTGTGTGTCTCATGGAGAGCTAGCTGGGGTATGCGAAAAGACAAATACCTAATACAAGAAACTGTATATGGCCAATAAAATGATCTCTTATGTTATTGGATGGATATAATTAATGCAAAAGAGGACATTAAAATACAAACAGTTTCAATGTACTTCTAACATGGCAAATCCTATTTTTTTTCTCATCAAGCTCAACACGACTTCACAGCAAACCAAGTCAAAAAGAGACAATATCATCTAGTGCACTGCTCTGCTTTTAAAAAGGTTAAAAAAGGTTTAAGTGCAATACAAAACCAATGGAGCCATAAGCTAGAAAGACTTTCCCAGGGATTTTAGGAACAGGATGTTAATGGCAGTGTTAGTCTATTATTCCTTAATATTTAAAAACAAGATCAAGGAAATGATTTATAGACATGAAAAGTTCAGAGACAAAGCATATACTATTACTGTTCTTGTGTTTGCGCATCTGGCTTACAGGGGTGGTGTGTAATGTATCCTTTTATGCACACCTACAGTTTTGCATATATTGGCAGCAACATCTAACACGTCATCGGTTAATTTATTCCACATTAATGCAACCTGATGGGTGAAAGCTCATTGATCATGGGAAACTCTAGTACTTTCTCTTCTACATTTAAGCAGTATTAGCAGGTTTTGAAAGCAAACACTACCTTTAATATTAAGGCATTTATATAGGACAAATTAAAAAGTATATGAAAGCCTAAAGAGATAATAAAATAAATCCATGAAACAATACAACCAAGCTATCGGAGTGGACTGTAATAGCACTTTTTATTTAAACATTTCAGTATAGTTGGGATTGAAAGCATTACTTAATGAAGACTAATAAAGGACTGGATCACAATTAGCTCTGCCAAATCAAATTCCTACTGAATATATCATTCAAACAATCAAAGTGCTAGATATTATTTCAATCAAACAGCCAAGGACTTAATAATAAGTACATCTCAACTGAGTACTAAGTTCAAGCTTGATAAAATGTAAAGACTTGGAAGGTATGGAAAACAAAAGCTGTCCACAGTTACTTCTTGATTACTGATCACAGCTTTTTCCCCCGCCATTCTAAAATACAGCTTTCCTATGCTCTACATTGGTTCCCAGCTCTGGTCCTGGAGGAACATTGCCAGTTGTTTTTCATTCCAGCTAAGCTCTGAATCTCCAATTGATAACTTAATTGATCTTGTTGTTTTGACTTTTACATGTTTCTTTAGTCAGCCCCAAGTGTTGAAAATATCATGCTTCAAGGGTACTGTTTCCAGCGAGTTCAGCATATTAAAATCAATGCGGCCTCACCCTAGACAGTCCTGAAACAGACATTGCCTTCTACAAAGGTCCAATTGGTTACAGTCAACACACCTGAATGGGGGCAGTTCTGAAACTCAGAGGTTGGTACGGGGTTGAGACCAAACACAAATCCAATTTGACCTTTGAGGAGCTAAAAACAAATTCATATCTATGCCCCATAAAGGAAAGTGAAACCTATTATCCCCTGATTAAGAACTTGACAGGAGCACAGACCAGAAGAGATAATGTTCCTCCAAGACCAGGGCTGGTAACAACTAGGCTTTAGGACAAAGGAAATGTATCCGTCAGCATCCAGCTCGGATTTAAGAGAGCTAAGGTCTTCTGCCACAGATTAGGAATGATCTGCAAGATTCTTGCATTATTGCAAATACCCAGTTTTCATATATAATAGGGGTAGTTCGATTAGTCAGTTCTTTAAAAGCAAAGTCTAAATAAAAGATCTAAAAACGGTTGCAGAGCTAAGACCTGAAACGGTAAGGATGACAGCCAAAGAAGAGCCACACTTGTGTATCCTTTCTGCAAGGATGTGACACAAAGACTGTCTGGTGACCACAGCCAGCCTTGACAGTCAGATTACTGTTAATTTGATGGATAGACCTGTGTGGTCACAGAATTAAAAAAAACTGAAGACCCACTAACACAGAATGTTAAAATGAAGGTCAAGAGCCATCTGCCAACTAACCATCATTACGTCTGACATCGGGCAGTAGGTAAAACAAAGCAGGTAAGGCAAGTAGGACACACAGAGAGGACGACACATGGAGTCAAACCTTTCACCTGCAGGAAATGACCTGGCTCACATTTTTATACTGTGGTAATGGCTTATGCAATTATTCTAAAACACTAAATCACGAAAAGGGAGTTTTAATACTTGTGCAACCAATCTATTTTGCAATATGTGATACACAGCCCTGTATCATTCTGTGATGAATATGCCACACTAAAGCAGATGCAATTAAAAGGGATTGTATTTTAAGCTGCTTGTAAACCAATGAGTTTTCATGAATCAAAATGCAGCGCATTCCTACGGTGTCCCATTTAGTGAAATCACAAATACAGCAGACAACTTTATTAATACTTTATTCAAAACCTGAATACAAAGACAGAAGACTTCTTAGGTTACAAATAGGTTGCAGAAAATGTCAGCAAAAACTAAGGAGAAAAATTAAAATACAAATAATTGAGTGTTCAGATTTAAGCTCAATATTTGGTGTAAGCACCTTTGGCACTAATTACAGCCACAAGTCTCTACCAACTTTGTATACTGGCTTGGTTTGATTTTTGCTCATTCTTTTTGGGAGATTTCTTCTGGTTCTCTGAAGTTGCTTGGGGAAGTTGGTGGGGATCATTGATTCTTAACAGGATTCATGACAAGACTTTGTCTCAAGGATACTCAGTTTCTTATTCTTAATCCACTCTAGTAAAGCTTTGTCCTGCAGAAAGATGACTTTTCACCCTAGTTTTAAGTCTTTAGCAGACTAAAACAGGCTTTCCTTTGCGCCATTCACTCCCTGCTGAGAAAAATCATCTCCATAACATGATGCTTCCACTACCATGCTTTACTGTACTGATGGTAATGACGGGGAGATTTACCATGTTCTTAGACAAAACAGTTCCAGTTAATTCTCATCTGACCATAACACCTTTTGCAGGATCAGTCAGGCGCTTTGTTGCAAACCCCATATTGGCCAGCTTTGTGGAGTGACCAGGATATTTTATGACTGTCACATTTTCTCCCATTCTCTCAGACATTGAATGCTATCGCTCTTTCAAAGTTGTCATTGACCTCACAGATTCACAGTTTTCTCCTTGTCTGGTTGCTCGGTTAGGAGAGACATCCCAGTCTTGGCAGTGTCTGGGTGGTACAATGCACCTTAATTTCTAAAATGAGTAGAATGTGACAATATTCAGAGACTTTGAGAGTTTTTGTATTCTTCTCTTGATTTGTACTTTTCAATTACTTAATCCCTGACTTATGAAAGCTTCTTAGTCTTCATTATTCAGTCTGTGGTTGCAATTCACTAAGGAACATGAATGTTGTACATTTTTTATTCTGAAATCATGGGAACATGTTACACAATTACTGCACCTTGTTAAGGCAACTTTATGCACTCAAAGGAATTTAGGTTTGCCAAAGCAAAGGGTTTGAAAACTTCACCATGACTTTCCAGTCCATTTTTCATATAACCTATTTGCATCTGTTTTTTGCTTTGAATGTGTAATAAGCAAATATAAATCACTATTTCAAAGTGTCATGTTTGCAAACAAAACAACAAAATGTGAAAACAGTGCATGGGTCTTTTGAAAGGCACTGTAATGAAATCAGAAAACAATTTTCAAGCGAAAGCAATGCAAAAACAATACAGGGCAATAATATTCAAAAATAAGGAGGAAGAGCTGTTAAGGGGTTAGGCTTTTTTAGCAAAAAAATAACAGTGCTGATCACAGTGAATAAGAGGGAGATAACGAGCAAAGCAGCACCACAGAAAAAAATGGGGTAATTTTGAAGCATCTCTGATTGTCTACATGTGACCTTGAGAGACAATCTTGGTTTTCCAGGACTGTCATTGTAATGGCTGAAAACAAACAAAGACTGGTGGTGACGCACATTGGCTCATGAGAAGGTCTAGAAAAAGTCATGACCTGCAGCCTAAACCAATTCCCACAAAAACAACACAGAACCTGTCCAAAGAGTGATAAGCTCGGGTACCATAAGGAAAGACTTATCAATGTAAGAATGGCATGTTAAAACTAAAGATTGAGTATAAAATTCCCCCTTACTTGAGGTTTAAAATGATATTTGCTTCAGACAATTATCCTGTAGAGGCTTCTGATGTCGTTTTTCACTGTGAGATTTGTTAAACAGTTTAAATGAAATTGATACAAGAACTTAAAAGGGACACATCAGAAAACCCAATATGAAGATGTAGAAGATTTCTTCTTTACTTCATCTGAGTAATTTGTTCTTATATTTTGTATAGTACTCATAACAATTTCCCATCCTACAGCAGACCACAATCTACTGACTTTGTGTTTCGGACATCTACTTATAAATTTCTTACAGCTACTACAGATAAAGATTTGGATGAAGATCAAACATGGGGTCTCTTCTAATAAAGGGTACAAGACATTTGGGTTTCAGCCTCCTCACATACCCCATGAAAAATATGGGAAAGATGGTTTTAACTCGATATGCACAACTGCAAAGGAGAATTAAATTAAATTCAAAATACTTTATTCATCCCCAAGGGGCAATTCAAGCAGCAAGCTGTGCAACATACAGAACTTTCCAAATAAAACATTACTAAGAAAAAATACATTATGAAAGCAGCAGTGTGCAATATTTAAGAAGGTACTGAAGTACATGTACATTTGTAGAGGGGATACAAATCATAATTGATAAAAGCTCTTTACATTCAGTGTTTGCAAGCCTGAAGGCTGCTGGAACACAGCTAAATTAGCCAAGAACTATACTTTATTTAAACTAGTGAAATATGATGTCAAGCAATCACATTGCATAAAATATATAAATACTGAATGCAATCTAAATCTTAATCAAAGTGTAATCAAAGAAAAAGGTCTACATATAACTCACTTTGTCTCAGTAAACATATTCCACAAGCATTTTTGCCATTCTCACCTGTATAACTTGAAGCTTTCAAGTGCAGATGCTTTTTGAAATTTAAGGGGGGGTTTTTAGTCATGCACTCCTAGTCATACTATATTAGATTTTTACAATGCAGTGGCTGGAATACAAAGATTAAACACTGACGATTTTCACAATTCAGTATTGCTTAACTTTATTATTTCCTTGTAATTTGAATCTTGCACACACCTTTTGTACACATTTCATTAGCCTTGTACTATTTGATCTTACAGAAGATGCCAGTAAAAATGAAATGCGACCCTGTTTCCTTCTCTTGGTGAAAAAAACCTTTCCTTCCTTTCCCACAATCTCAATCTGTGACAGGCTTTCCTGGACAGAGCATCTACACTGAATTTGTAAAACAGTGCTGGTGTCACTCAGCACCAGGGCCACGGTGAAGTCTGATCACACATTTCCTTGATGGAAATGGTGTCTTAACCATCAAGGCGAACGAAGTGCACTGAAATCACCCAGTTTTATTACAGTGCTGTTCCTGCCTGCGAGGTTTAAAATACATGCGGCTTATATTTTCTTTTGAATCCCACAGTATTCCCGCAGCTAAAAAACTATGAAAAAATAAGAAACAAAACCAATAAAACAGTATGGCACACAAAACATTTTCTGATTTTCGCCAAGCCACAGAACATCTGAATAATTGTTTATGTGGCTTTCTGTCAGTTAGGCTAAAGACAGAATTAATAAAAAGTAGAAAGTGTCTTTTTTTTTACCTTAAACTGATCAATTCAGTCTACATATCTCCAAAATATCATTTTTGCTTATAGATATAGTCCACATGCTTGCCAAGTACAAGAAGTGAAATCAGTATATGATTGTGCATACTGTACCTTCCCATGAGGAGTGAGTGTCCAGATGACAGAGAAAGTCAGCCTGTCTGTCATGGGATTGAGACTGCAAAGCTCCTCACACAACAGGCGAGGCAGCATAGGGACTACCTGCAGAATGCAAACAACAAACCCAGAAAACAAAATCAGCAATATTACTGCAATGCAGAGATTGGGACAAGAAATTACACTGGAGTGTAAGGAAAAAAGCTAGGGACCACTCCCCAATTCTAGTATCTTGTTTAACATTTGAATTCAGTTAAGATCATACTAAAGCTAAAGCTATGACAGAAGTCATTTAAAAGACCTGGCTCTTCCCCTTGTTGCTTGTTTGCTTACAGATCAAAGAATATGATCAATACATTTATTGAAAAACCCCATTGGATGCAAAAATACCATTAAGGCGAACTGAGCATTGAACATTGAACATATAAAATTCAATAAACTGACTCCGTAGTAAGGAAAGAACAGTGTGATTTTCATGGATATGGCAATGACAAAATAAGAGTCCCGAAAAGAGAAGGAAATAATTGAAGAGCGAAGAACTACGTGAAACTGTTGTGTCTGCGGAAGGACCAGTGGGGTGCAGTTATGTAACTGGGTGCAAAAAGGTAAAACCTACAGAACACCAGCGGTATGCACAACCCATATGCAAAAAATCTTGCCTTCACCACACAAATCAAAGTCAAACAAAGACATGACTGCGTAAAAGAAGTAAGAAACACACATATAGCTCCATTGACTGAAGATCAATGCAGATGGAAGCACTGAAGAACACTGAAGTAGAACTACTTTCACCATCATGACTTCCCAGTGGCAGTGTAATTATTCCTTTCGAGGAGCTTTTCTTTATTTCAAAAATCCCTATCTGAACCTCTTTCCATTATTCAGCAGATTCACACTTTGGCTTCTGCTAGTGATGAGAACAGAAGATAAAAAGAAAAAGTGTCAAAGGCCAACGATAACCTCCCCTTTTCCAGATGAATTCAATCACCCCGCATTTAGGAAGCACAAAGGGCTGAGAGAAAGCTGTTTTTACCATGAAGATACAAACACATGACAATGGGCTGGCAGGCAAGTAGGAGGAAAGGGAGCACTGCACATGCCTGTAACACTGCTTATCGCTTGCTTTATTGCAAATATATTTCAAGGTAATTAGTCACTAGTCTCCTGTACTAAGCTATTATATCTTGCTTAGAAGACAAACTCAAAATCAGTATCTACCATGCCCCTTGTTTTCAGGCCTTAAATGATGATAATTTTGTCAATGCAGATATTACAAATTGCAGTATAACATATTAAGAATTAATCAATAAATTATCTATTAAGCTACTATACATATTACTTTTTCTTCCCCCATCTAGTTCAGGGAAAGATTTGGTTCATAATACAGGTAAATGAATCTGGATACTTTCACCTTCATTCCTTTACATGAAAGGAACGCAAGCATCCTAGCAATCTTAATTTGAGCATCAGAAAGAGGTGATGAGGAACAGAGTGCCTGTTCATTTAGTACTTTCCAGTATTCAGAACATGAGTACTGGTCTCCTTGTTGGTTGTCCATGTAATCCTTTTTAATTTCATGCTATTTATTAAGACCTCAAGTTTTCTTACTGCAGCCTCGTTAATTTCGGTTCTGGAAGGCATTAAAGTGAAAGGACAACAGTTCTTAATTCACAATGAAAGCATGATGCATTCTATTTCAAAATCCACTACTACAGAACAGAGAGAAAATACCCCACGGGCAGTCTCACTTCTTGGTTTTCCATGTAGAACACATTTTAGAAACACCTCAGATCTGATTAAAAATCAGACTTTGTACTCTGGATGAGATCATGTGAAAATGTGTTCTATTATGCTGTCTATGAGGATGAGTTCATAAGGTCTGGCAACATGATTTCAGAGTTTCCCCGTAAGTCTCCCTTATATTTCTTTACAAAAAAATAAAACTATAAGAAATAAGGTCTGAAAAAAATTGCAATAATGGAAGCTTTGATATCGCAGGTACAAATAAAAGGCCCTGGAATGAATTTATCATCAGTGGTATTGACAGCTTGCTAGTAAAGAAGGTAAAACGTTCATCAGACGCTCTACAGATCGTCTGCAGCACCAGGCTCGGCGATGTGAGTTTACAAAACAAACTGAACCATCTTGTCACGAAGGACCGCGTTCTGTAGTTTGCCTGTCTTGGAGAAGATGAACAGAAAGGCAGACTGTCAGCTGCTGTCACAAACACTTAACAGGCTTGTTAGTTGTAACAGCTCTTTTCAGTCACCCTCAACGGCTCCCATTAAAATCCAGTCACGGATCCAAACGTCTCAATAACGCCATGGGGATGACAGAGTCACGAAGCACTATAATTTACCGTCCTGCTTCAGCGCTGCAATTAAAAAGCAGCATCCATCCCACGTCACCTGTCAAATCCTCAGTTTTATCCATCCGTTAGTGGAGGAAATATTTAATGCTTTTTTTGTCAATGGCTTATCAAATAATTAGCAGCCAGATTTTCAATGCATCTGCGATAGCTACCGGGTTCACTCAATCACCAAATTCACATTCAACATGCTTTTTAAAAACCGTGCCTGCAGGAGATAATGCAAAATGTGAATACTCAACTTAGGTCTTCAATTTCACCGAGGCAAAAAAGAAAAACAATTAGAGTACATAGCTTATAAACACAAAAAAGAAAACAAATCAGTATAGTGGAATTGTAAGTGAAAAGGAAAGCAATGCAAGTTTTGAATGTAAAAAGGATGACTTTGATTTCTGGTTATTTTCTAAACTCAAAAATGTTGGCAGCACAACATTCTACTAATAATAAAAATGCAAAAGAAACAGATTTATAAAAATAAAATGTCAAAAAGGTTAAGTATTGAACAGATCAAACAGACACCTTTTGCACAAGGTAGACGCTGGTCGCTCTTCTGCTAGCAACCAAATCCATTGCATTCCCTTCTTCCACAAAATAACTGACATCAGCGATATGAACTCCAACTTCAAAGTTTCCTGAGTGAGAAAGGAAAGGGGAGGAAATTAAACAAGACCCTTGTATCATATTGCATGGGAATACCAGCGTTTTCCAGGCCATGCCTTATATTCTTGTTATCTTTTATACTGAATGTGATCACTGTACAGAAAAAAAAATGTATCTGCTTTTGGTATGAATTCAATGACTTTGTTCAAGATATTTAATTTCTCCCATACGTATTTTTGAAATAAAGCTTTTCATGCCAGATGTATTCAAAAGGAGATGTGCACTGAGAATCCCATTTTTGTTGAAACATTACTTTCTCTCATGTTTATACATTCCTACTCAGATACACTGCTCAGCACTTCCTGCAGATCTTTTTTTTATTTTTACTTTGTGTTGTATGAAGTGCCCTTTCATTAATGTATAGCTTTACCTGTGGTAAATTTCATAGAAAAATGAAACAGCACTAGAATGGCAACAAAACAAAAATGGAAAGCAAGTTGGGGTATGCGAAAAGACAAATTCCTAATCCAAGAAATTGTATATGGCCAATAAAGTGATCTTATATTATAAAAAATAAAAAGTATCATATCAGTACTAATTCTGCAACACCTTAAGCAATCCCCAAAAATGAATGTTGCCTTCTTTTCCCATTTCTGCCAAAGATAGAAATACATTTGAAATATTCAGGGAAAAGGAAATTAATTAAAACAGCTTATTGGTTTCCCCCCCATTTTTCCAAAAGCCAGGTGCTTCTTGTTTGTTTGCTACAACTCAAGAGAATGTTTCTCAGAAAACAACTGCTAAATCTGACTGTCTCTTTATTTTTCAAATCTCTCACCATTTGTTCTGACACATTAACTTCCAATCCTTGTGTGATCTACACAAACCTGGAACAACTCTCCATTACTTCTGGAATACATTCTCTTGAATAAAATGATACATAGATACATAAAAAGATATAAAAAAGAATAAAAAGATACATAGATACATTTCATCTGAATGTACATTTTTATCTGGATTAACACAATGAATATTTTGTGACCGTGAAGGAATTATTTACTAAAAGACCAAAAAGGGAGGGAAATTCTTAGGACTGCCTATTATGGAGCATTTATTCTTTCAGTATCCCTATTTAAAAACATTATAGGTTTTGAAACAAAATGGAGTTTTCTGAACACTTAGCAAGATTTACTACTAGGGTTTTGGCTTGAAACTTAAGTTAAATTCTCTCTCCGTTTTAGAATGAAGTACAAAAAAAACAGCACTCTTTACGTAAAAACTAACAGCTATACACATTTGTGGAAAGGAAAAGAGGAAAACAGAAAAAAGCCAAGTGTATGAATAATTAACGTTTTTTAAATGGTTGGTACTATTTTTCAATAAACCATCTTCTGATCAATTAATACAAACCAATTTTTACCACCAGTGGTTTTAATAAAATGGACAATTGGGTTAAATTTTGGATGATATTTCATGATTGGCTATATACAGTATACCCAGTATGCACAAATTGTAGGAACAACCTACAATAAAACTTATGTTCAACATGATCATTTGTGGATGCGATTCTCCAGCTTCTCATTGCGTGTGAAATTCACCACTTATGTGTGTTTATCAAGTTTAAGTTACACGATTGAAAACTAAAACCAAGTTGTTTTTCTTCTTAAACTACCCTCATTATTATGCATTTAGTTCTCAAGCTGTCTGGCCTTAAGCTAAACAAACATAAGGATTTTCACAACCGAAAGAAAAGAGTGAGACTTCATCAGGAATCAGGAATTTGCACATTATGTTTCCACACACACACTCACATGTTGTTGTACACGACTTGCACAGTTGTGATTTAGATATTTAATCACAGCTGCATGATTATTTCGCGATGTTTCATTAAGGTCGTAAGAAAAGACTGAACCAGTGGGAAAAACTGATACACTGTGCAGACCCCTCAAGTGCTTGGCTATTGACTTTCCACTGGACCACCTAAAAAGTTGCTCAATAAAAGCAGCATGTACAAAGCAAGCTCTGACATTAACATGCCTTGTGGAAGAGCAACACACTATGTCCATGAATTCATCTACTTTGCCTTCCTACTCTCCTGAAATATTAGCACTATTAACGCTTTGAAAGCATGCCCAGTTAATAGTAAACACAAAAGACAACAACCCACAGTATTTCGGTAACAATAAATTCTACAAATCTGGGGATGGTCACAAGCTTGTATGTTTTTGCACAAAAAGTGTATAGGGGCCATAACTCTTCTGGTCCTTGTATATGGCTGATAAGGCTCAATGTCAAGATAGGTGAGGGTCCACTTGAACAGCCGAGTAAGAACCGAATGATATCAGCTGGAACAGCACACACAAAGCTTGTTTCTTGCTTTCCAGATTCCCAATATTTCTTGACTGCTGGCAGTACATGAAATGCATGTTTCTACCCCAAAATTACAATCACCAACATTTTTTTCTTGAGCTATTTTAAACATAAAATATATTTACATCATGACCCCCAATCTATTGTATTTCAATATTATCAATATTGAGTCCCCAGCTTGTGATGCAGGGCAGGACAATTCAAACAAGTACTGTGTTACATGCAAGCTAGATATAGTCAATGCAATCCTAAAGGCACTTTCCTTAAAAAAGCCTCTGTTTACACTGTGAGGATGGTTAATCTAGTGGGGGCTCTGTGTTCTTAGAAAGAAAGGTCCAAAACTAACATCTTGAAACGAACAGCACAGATTACTACAAAAATAGAGCACTGCTTTAAAATAAACCCAGCTGATTTCACATTCACAGAAATATTAGTTCATCTGTAACTTTTTTTTCTGAATGAAAAATAAAATGTAAACACTGGGCTTGGTCTGTGTTTTTTCTTTCATGAATGACTAGTGTAATATTTCCTTCCTTTGGAAGTTCAAAGCCTGAATTCCATATGCTGTACATATGATACTGAATACACCTAGGAAAGGCTTTAAATACATTTGATGAGCATGACTTAGGTAGAGCAACAGCTAAACATGGAAATCATTATGTGCTGTGCAGTGCACCACTATGCATGAACATTCTCCTTTCCAATGTTTTCTTGGGCGGAAGTTTTGCTGTGGTTATTGTGAAAGAAAGAAAGAACTCACTTTCAAATAAAATAAACCTCCAGAGCTCATTCTGTTTAGTATTTTCACAGAATCTCAAAACCATCCCAAAGTAACAGCAAATGAAATCCTTAATCCCACTAAATTGAGCAAATCTGCAGGTACTGTACATACCAGTGCATTCATAAGGCTTAAAGGTTTGAAGACATTCCTTAGGGCATTAATTTGTAATTATAGCTGTCATTTTTTTCCAAATCTCAGCCGGCATGTCAGGCTTAAAAAGTTCAACCAGTACAAAATTCCTTCTACGATAAAATAGGACTGTCTATTAAAATGGTCTGAATTACACTATAGTTATTTAAGATATAGTTATTTTAGAACTATTTTTGCTATCTTAGCCAAAGAAAGCTACAAACTTGAGAATGACAGTATCATTTAACTAGTCAGATTTCTTAACGAGACAGTTTTGTTAGCATGTGCCAAGATGCAAACAGTAGGATACATCTGTAAATCAATGGGAATATGCTGGATTCAACAAAATGGTGAGACAAAGATGTCTTGATGACCAAAATGTGACAAATACAATAATCACACTATTGTTTGAATGCCATTCTGAAGTGCATCACTTCAAAAGTAATCAGAGATGTTCTATCCACACAACAATCAAGTTGGACAAATCACAGTAGCAATGAATCAGAATTAATGTTTTGTTTTATTTCAACTAGTATCATCAAATGAAGTGCTTCTGAAGGAATTAACTCTTGAACCTCTACAAACACTTGTTACATACGTCACCTATTGATAATAAACAGTATGTATGCCAAAAAAAAAAGCATTGTCTTCCATCTTATGTGCTTAGTGGTGATTTACTGTAGCTCCCAGTACCTTGCATTTTGAGTCTCAAGATTAGGATGAAAAGCTCTATCCAACATGGTTTGCTATATTTTGACAAAATGCAAGGGCTTTAATGGGACTTTAAAATCTCCAGGAAGGATCCTTTCTTCATCCGATATCTTGGATGCTGCGTTTCATGCATATATTAGTTTATAGAATAACTGAACACAAAAGAAAACTGACAATCCCTCAGCACATGCACACAAATTACACAAATGTAGGCATCATCTTACTGAGCTCATTATTATAAGGCCATTGCAAAAAATTGTGCTATTAAGGAAGTCCTGAATATTCCCATTTTTTAAGGTTCACAAGATCTACTCTCTTAATTCTAATATGCACAGGGTTCTCCCTGTTCCTGTCTCCAAGAATTGTTATTTCATTTTCTATTTCAATGTTATGAATCTTTTATGGCATTTGTCATGTGAGGGAAAACACACAAGTAAGCATTTCATTGTACTCAGGTACATATCACCTTAAACTTGAACTTGATTCCAGCATGAAGCACTGCATTTGGGTGTTCATGCACTACTATGGGCACAAATGAGACTATCAAACATTATCAAACAGAAAAATAAAAAAGCTGATACATGCTTGTATATTGACTCACTTGAAGGTCACCGAAAGAGACTGAGATGATGTAATTCCTCCAACAGCAGTGCCTGAGATCTACAAGTGCACTCGGCACTCTGTGAGGACTCCACACTTTCATATGGTCATTTTCACTCAATTAACACTAATGGTAGAAAGGCTAGCATAAACGCTATGAATGATAGCTTCACTGACTGGAGCACTGTCCAGGCACTTAAAAAAAAACACCCTGGTGTGCGAGATCCTTTCCAACATGAAATTGCTAAACCTGTCAAACAGAGATGTCTCTTCAGGTGAAACTACCAACTTTACAAATGTTGACTCTGTTATGGTTACAGCTTGGCTTAAACGAATGACTTAATGTTAAAACAATTAGCAAGGAACTTATACGGAACTCACTTTCTCTCAAAAGGACTCAATTTTCCACATTCCCTTGAAAGCCATAACGTATATCAGCTTTTTCCTGTTACATCTTTCACGATGCATTAAACCATCGTGCAAGTCCGGTATGATTTTGTTACTGTTTCACCTTACATTGTGCTTAATCACAACTAATCTCACAAAAAAAAACTTCTGAAAGAGTCCTCAAAGCTCATTTCGAGGACATGTGGTGGGAAAGTAAATCAGTGTTATAAACCACATTAAAGTTCAATTTTCCACACTGAGCCTTCTCAGAGTTCTATATATTTAAATAAAAACAAATAAAGACAATCATTAGCAATAAGCTGATATATTAAACTTAACAACTCAGATGTTTATGTATAACTTAAAAGATGTAACTGTATGTAAAATAAGCATTTTATAATTTCTACTGCATATGACTTACAATATGACAATTTTATGGGCTGCCTTTAGCTTTGCAGAACACTGTTCCAGCAGCAAAACCACCTCATTGCATACTTACCACCAGACCAGATCAGGGTTCTCAAATGTTTAGGATCCTAAAACTTTAACAGCTTTTAATAAAAATGGTACAACTGACACGCTCATCAAAAAAATCTCAATTAAGGTTCCTGCTTTGCCAACTTTTCTGGATCCTGCAGTGGTGACTGCCATTGGGCTACATGTTAAAACCCTTTGTACAAATCATGCACTTCACACACCCCCCATGGCAGTGGACATTACATCACTCTGACCTGGGGGGCGCTGACTCACACTGACATCATGGCTTTTGTATCTGGCTGATCGCAATCATCTCTCTGTGTTCCACCTGATTGTATTCTTCTTCAATTGAGCCCATCTGATTGTAATCATCTGTATCAGTACCAGCTGATTCTGCTGTTCACCAGCCATGCCCACCTGACTGTAATCAACTGATCAGTTCCATCTGATCATATGTATCTCTATTTGTTCTCCTTGATGGTAATCACCTGGTTTTATGTGGGTATTCAATTTCTTTGTTTTGCATTATGTCTGTAAAACAATAGACACTATAAACAACACAATATTTTCCTCTTAGCTTATCAGACATTTCGAGCTTGAGAATGCACTGCAATTTAGGTGAAGTTCTACATATGAATTAATGCAGTACTCAAAAATAAAATGACATGGATAATGATTAAGTAGCAATGAAAAATTGGTACTGGAGGTACACTGTAATTTCTAGTCATGAGGCCTTTGTTCCACAGAATATCTTTTAGCAAAAAAAGATGGACTAACTCACAACAAGAGAGACATATAATTCAGAGGTCTTTCACTCCTAGCTCCTTGTTTGTCTGGGTTTGCAAACCTTGTCATATTCCTATGAAGAACTTCCAGTTTTATGGAGATGCTTAAAATATAAGTTATTGTCTTGTTTTGGAACTATAGATCCAGAATACATAACCCCTCAGGTCATTTCAAAATAATCCAGAAGGCATCACATTTGTCTGGCAATCTCAACAATTGTATTTTTTGCAGAAGGTGGCCTGCTGTTTACACTGCTGAAAAAGACTGGTCAGAGCAGCAGGGATCAAAGATCTCTCAATGTCAACAGTTCACTATTTTACCTTAGCCAGACAGGATTTCATTGCCCTTTCTGTCCGAGTCTTTTCGCAAAGATTCAAAACCCCCCAGTAACAGAGAGCATTCAGAAATCAAATTTAAACTAGGTCCATACTTTCCCCCTGCTCTGTGATCAGCTAATTTATTTCTAAATATTTCCATTCAATTACAGATATAGAATTCCAAACGTAGCGAGGAAAACATCTCCCATACTTCTGGATAATGATAAACACATCTGCAAAGAAAAATCCATACTAATCCCCAACTCACCCCTCTTCATCGCTTCTCCCTTTCCAGTTCTTAAGTCTCCTCCACTTTGGCTCATACTTTTGCCCCCCCCCACACACACACACACATCTGATGAAGACTCCCAAAGCAAAACCTGTTTTTTCCTTGTGTTTGTATTTTCGCAGTGGAATTACACACCACTGCTACTGAAATGCAGAAGAAGAGCATGGGGCAGACACAGAACTGATCCAATAAAAGATACTGCATCCTTTTCAAATTGTTCCTCCTTCAATTTTCATGTGAATGAATGCAAGATGTTAGATAGGTGCTAGATTTCCTAGTGATCCACTTCTGCTCTGAACCTTGAGCTGCTGGTAAGATGCTACACCCTTTGATTCCAGAGATGGAGCTTTAGATACAGTGGCAAAGAACAAAGTCATTACTTACAACAACTTTATTAAAATAAGTAATCACGTGAAATCTCAACTAATCTCAATTACACAGCATTGTTAGGCTAAAAAGTTATATTTTATATTTATTTTATTCATTTCTGGCAGTTAGTGAGTGCTAAAGGATCTCCAGTTTATGTTAATTTCTCACAAACTGTCAGTAAATTGAATTGGAATTGAGCTTTCCACTTAAAAAAAAACTTGAATGAGATTATTCATGAATGAGTTTTAGATTATATGCTGCACATTTATCCAAAGTGGTTTTGGCCGTCATTTTACATTAAAGATCTCATAAGATGTAAATGTTCTACATGGCAAAGGTTTTCCAAAAAGACATTTAATACATTATAATCAGAAAAAAAACAATTGTCTTTTCCTTACCACTGAAAAGCCATTTGGCGGTGTTGATGAAGCTATAGTTAGACTAATTTCGTCATCTCACAGCTTACTCAACCCAAGAAACAGCCATACCTAGAGTGTGCAATCACTAAGGTTTTCTTCAGTTTTAAATTCAAAGGGAAAGAGGGGTACAGTTAACTTTACATTATCTTTTGTGTTATTATATAGCTTGTCACTTTTATTAATATCAAAACTAAATAAAACCTTCAACTGAAACAGGCTGCTGACTTCATCTTCAAATTCCTAACATTTAGGCATACTTTGAGTTCATCTTCTTGTTTACATACTAAAGTGAGTAAGTTGTATGTCTACTTCATAGACAAGTAAACAGACTACAGATAAAACCAGAAACACCATGTTTCTAAAAAAAAAGAATGACAGAATCTATACTCCATCAGGAAAATTTAAAAAACATAAAAATGAAGAGTGAAGGCAAAGATCTTCACACCACGTTTAGTGATCAGAGGGTCAGAATGTCAGAAGTAAAAACGCAGCTTGCTGTGATTCTCACACTGTAACGTTACAGCATTTGTGCGTTTGTTCCTATGGTCACCTTAATGTTAAGCGAGTGATCTCTGGAACAAGGGGAAAATATGTACTAAAAAAGCCAACATACCATCTGGGAGTGGTTTACAAGACAAGGCGTCATCCAGGTCCCTGGCAGTGGCTGGGTCGATTGTGAATATACATTCTTTCCTACACCAGGAACAACAATACAAAACAAACAAGCGTTAAATGTTTCCCAGTGATCTTACATTAACAGGCATCATAAACACAATTCTGATGGAAAACACACAGTCACTTCTGGAACACGTGAGCGGCGCCCTTTTCATGTAGGTTAACCATTCCCCCAACTCTTTATTAAAATTGCATCCAGAAACATACGGTTTTACAGGTAAAGCATAATGGGTTTGATTTGGCAGGCACCTAATGCATCGAGGGGAAAAAGTACTTCTAAGAAAATGAACCTCTATTAAGTTCAAATGCCTTGGTAAACTAATTTTAACATCTTATTGCTGATTCGCTTTTTCCCTTGCCAGACACCCTACACATTTCACTTGCTAGACACATAAATAACTCGGCTTTTGCACATCACAAACGGTGGAAAAAAAACCCTGAAATCTCACCACCCAGAGACGATACAAAACTACAATATTCTAGGATAGAGTTAAAAAAAAAAATCTGTCGCACAACTGGGTTTCCAGCTGCTCGGAGGAAGTAAATAGTGAAATTAAATGGTGCAGTAACAAAGGTCTGGCACCCGCCGATTTTCACTACTGTCTGGGTGATCGGGAGTTCTTGAAGCAGGGACCGTACAGTCAGTGAGATAAGGCAGTACGTGCAAACTGAATAATCTAAAGTTTACATCTTACGCTCACCCCTAGAAGCCAGAAATCAGAGACCTGAGGTAAAATGTTAATGAAAAATCCAGTTGAATTTTCTGCATGTAATCTCCTAAGTGGCAGAATTCATGATCCACTGACTTTGGACATTTGGACTTTTAGTACTATGAGAGCAAAAATTATATTTACATACATATGTTACGCAACATACTTTAAAGTGATTACGATCTCATTGAGCAACACATGCAAGCCTTCCTAAAACGTATACACATATAGAATTTCAAAAATCAGGATGCTATGTTAGCACCATGTCAGTTCATAGACAGCGCTAAATAAATCAGTTAATTGTCTGTCCTTGTCTGAACCTCGTCTAAGTGAGCACATATTGCTTACCTGTTTTAATTCCTACAATTAATCTGGATTACACCACTTCTAAAATTAGCAAATTTAGCAGATAGAGATCCCGCATTTTATCATCACTCAACGTTGCGCCAACTGCACTTCAGGTTGACTGACAATATACCATTCATTTATTTTACAACTGCCATCGATACACAAATCTCACTCTTTAAACAGAGCAATGGTATTGGTCAACTTTGAAAATAGCAGACTTATGAGCAAATAAAATCAGGTGTCCTCCATTCCCTAAGGTATCAAAACAGTCTTCGGTCCTAGCCAGTGTAGTGCTGAATTCATTTTGATAAAAATTCAAATATCAGAACTTCGAAAACCATTGCAATTGCTCCTAATTTAGCATCAACTGACTTTTAAAAGTGTAGCATAAAGGCAACATTTAAAGCAAAAAAGTGAATGGTGCAGAATTTTTCTCCTTTTAAACTAAATAACCAACTTTCAAACCAGGCATAAACTAACACTACGGCTCCCTTAATGGTTATGTCTGTGTTTATAAGAAAGTCTCTGTCTAGGACAAAATCTCATCAGAAATTGAGTTTTTGTGCTTTATAAATAAAAATGTCTGGAAGATGACATAAAAAGCTAAAATTCCAATGTTTTACATAAAATGAGCATGCCATACACAAGTGCCAGCAGGGACTGCAGAAAAAGTACTGTTCTTACACCTGCGTGGGAATCTCAGTTGGCTTAAATCATAACGAATTTCATTACAGTGCTTATCACAAATGGACGCATGTTTCATCTCCAACCCTCACTGATCTGACATTTGACAAGAAATCCTGTATTCCCTGAAATCTGCGAGTATAGTCTTCGCCCATCTGAGGAAATAAGGCTTTGAGGATGGTGGCATGAAAAATCAAACTGAGCTGATGGTCTCCCATTCAGCCATCTTTCCTTTCTACCTGTATGAAACTGAAAGCAGACAACATACAAGAGACACACGAAATGATTATCATGACTGTTTACAGATGTTTTTATGTATAAAATAAGACCAGAGGCATGAGCACAAGCACTGAAGCTATGATCATCCAACATCACGTCTGTATAGCATGTGATCTGGTTGTCAGACTCCCACACAAGGTTATCTCCCTGCAACTCCACCTAGACGTTATTACAAAAACATCAAGAAGTCCAATATAAGTATCAGCTCTTGGGCGCTAATGGCCGACCCAGATTGAAGGAGAATATAATAACAATAATAATAATAATAATAATAATAATAATAATAATAATAATTGCTTACACTCATATAGCACTTTTCTGGACACTCCACTCAAAGCGCTTTTACAGGTAATGGGGACTCCCCTCCACCACCACCAATGTGCAGCATCCACCTGGATGATGCGACGGCAGCCATAGTGCGCCAGAACGCTCACCACACATCAGCCATCAGTGGGGAGGTGAGCAGAGTAATATCTTCAAAGAAGCCCAGTACTTCGAGACCCAAAAAAAGTCAGAATGGGGAAGCATAGCGAGGACATCAATGACTACTCACTATGATTAGGCTGCGAAATACGCCATCAAAGACATCCTGTGACAACACCTGCTCACCCTGCCGGAGAGGAACAGACCCCAAATTGGTCTCATCAGTCACCTCCAGTTTCACAGACGCCAGTCATCCTCGACCACAGTCAATTAATGCGTTTCTAATGGACGGTTCCACACTACTTTGCTGTATATCGGCCATTAAGCAAAAGTATGAATTAAAGAACAAAGAACTAATTAGTGTACAAGATAAAATGAAAGCTGGTTTTGTGCCTCAAAGCTATAAGATTTAATACATTCTTAATTAAAAAGATCAAAAAGTGAGTCATTAATAATTGCGAATTATATAAAAATCTTCTTGAAGCTGGCATTTGAATACTTTTTTCCCCCCTTACAGCTTTGACACATGATAGTCAAGAGCTGAAACAACCATTGCATTGAAAACTATTTTCTTAACTAGGTCATACAGGATATGTATTTCTGATTCATCTATCATTCTGCGTACAACAGTTAGCTTGAACCTACTTCATTATGTAAATGTTACTCATTTATCATTTATAAGTGATTTAATTAATATATTCCTTACAAAAGTGTCCTTATCAGGATTCCAACATTGTCCAGATAACGCAACAAAAAGCTGGTTCTGTGACAAAATATAGTCCATAGCCAGTTACGGCAGCACATCACATTTTTCACATACATTACATATTGACTGTCATGTGTCTTTTTTCATAACTGACATTCAGAACATTTAGGCTTGATTACTTTTCATATTTTGATAAAGTGTAGGCATTTGGCCTGTGTATGTCACAAGGAAACTATTCTGTATAAGCAATTATTTTCAAAGTTAGGGTGAAGGAAAAAAGAAAGACTAGCTGCTTTGATCATTTAAAAAATGCTTCTCTGGAAGAAGAACAACAAGATAACACCTGTCCTCATTTTATTCTTTCACTTTGTATTTTATTCTCTTTTCATTTCCATTTTGTGAGTTAGGACTGTGTAGCACGTCAAAGGAATGTCGTTAATTGAATAGAAGCAACACTGAACAGGTTTATCTTTCTCTGCCACACTGTTAGTTTCAAAGGGACATTCACCAAGTGCACACTGTACAGTTCACTGTAAAGGCACACTCCTATTAAACAAGACTGACTTTATTTGCCCACTTTTTTCCACCAATACAAGATGTGCACAATTTAGGAATCTTTGTACTTGCTTACTTACTCCATCATCTGTGCAAGATTAGAAAGAACAGAAATGAAACTTCAGATTTCACAAGCTTATCTGTCTGTTTTATCATCATCATCTGTTTCAATTAACAGATCATCTTTAAAACTTTTTATATAATCAATGAAATTGTTTCTGAGCTCCAGGATTTGGCTACCTACTTCAAAACCAATTTAAACGCTGTAGTTAATGCTTTCTCAGCTGTCAAAATTAAAAAAAAAAAATTACCCAGCTCTTCTCCTAAGAAACCATAATAAAATTCTGTTGTTTAATGCCTTAAAAAGAAAACTAAACATATTTTACATATGATGTTTAATCTATTTTTAGTTTTTTTTTTATTTTGAGACATCTCTTGTTACTCTCAGTCAACTACACGAAGATCTGTTTTTTCCATGTATATTTCTCACATTTTATTGTTACCCTTTATAACCTAACTATTTGTCCTTTCCTATTAAAAACAGATTCCAGCCTAACTGAAACTCCTTGTCTTATTTTAAATCTGTTTTTCTAAATAGGAGTTTTCAATTAAAACCGTTTTACAGTCCTGGGTCAGTAATAGTCATCACCGCCGTACATATAATAGAGATTAAGCCATGAAAGATTTTTAGTTATCTTACAAAGGATTCTCCACCGCTCTTGAAACAGGCATGGTGGCCAGGTATCCCCATTTTCACGTTTTATAAAATCTTAATTTGTAAAAAACAATGGCTAATATTAACCAGAGACCATGCTTAATACTTACCAGGACTTTAAGTTGTATGTATTTTATAAATGCATGGCAATTTCTGTTTAATGCCATATTAAAATGGGATTCATTATTTCCTAAATGTTATTTATTTTAGCTTAAAAATATGAAAACAAAGTACTTGTGGTACTGCAACATGGAAAAGTGATTACAGGACTGTTAGCACTCACATCAGATGACTTTCCATCGCTTTATTTCAGCGGAACAAAAACACGCTTGTTTTGCTCCGTTAGAAGAATGAGCGCGAATGCAAGCTGGACTGTGTCAGATGTGTGGGCCAGTGAGGCCCGCAGGGCCCGTGGAGCTTTTTATTGATGACAGGATCAAATAAACAAGCCACTCATCATTAGCAGTGCAGCAATAGCCACGTAAAAATAGAACTCACTCTCATAAATCATACTAACAAAAACTAAATGTCATTAAAGTACACTACTGTCTTTTACCTAACCTGCTGGAAGCAAGAGGCTCTCAGGTCTTTGAGAGGATGTGGAAAAGCGTTATCAAATACGCATTTTAATCATATTGGTAACGACTTCATTTCCATTAAATTATATAATTAATGTCTTATTATTGCATTTTTAAAGCCAATGCCTAAGTGGATTGAAAATTTTCACAGTGTATCCCAACGTTAACGGCACCAGGCCAGTCACATCCCAGTTTTACACTCTGATGGAATGTCACAAAAGATAGCTTTCTAATTTCACTAGAATCCACAAAAATCCAAAACTTACTGGTCCTAGATGTGCCAAATAAAGCAAAAAGGTGCATTTTTTCAAGGTTTAAAATCCTTAAAGGTAAACCACGGGCAACTCCTGGCTAACTGTGTGCTGAAGAAAAAGACATCCCTTTCAAATTAAAATCCACTAAAAAACAAAACAAACAGCACATACTGTACGTTTACAATCCATACAGACTCGGAAATATAAAAATGAACAATGAATATTGAGCACTGCATGACTCTTTTCTTTATTGCCACACCATGAACACTAGCCGAAGAGCTGAAACAGAATTGCATATACATATGTAATATCCACAAGCTCCGTGACATGAGTGCTTCCATCCTGTACAGCCAGAGTGCAGCTCTTTTTTACACTGGACATCGACATCCCCGTGTGAAGTGATCCACTGCTGAGCAAATAAGATGAATTTAATCCCTTCGAAAAGAATAAGGAAATAAAAGGGAAAGCCATTGTTTTAAGGGTGGGGAAAAGGAGTCTGATTTAAGATTACAGAGAAAAAAAATGATAATGAAGATTAATCTCTTCGATGGCAGTGCATTCAACTGGAACAGCTGCTCTAAAAGGGTGAAGCAGCCCCAAAACAATGTTTCAGAAAGCAGCTTTCCTAGCGCCGCACAACAAAGTCAACTGCACATCTAGATGAGGACGAGGAGCCAATAAATCTCATAGTGAAAGAGAAAACTTCCAAGCTCCAAGTCTCACTGAATCAATCTTCTATTCAGCAATGAAAGAAGCAAAACAGTGTCACCATCACATTCTGTTCAGATTCTCCACAGTAGATAGGACTATTCACCTGAAAGGTTCTGGCTTTCAATTCAGGTATAACACATAACCTTTAAAATAATGCATGCACTTTCAATAACTGTGCTTCCTAAATAAAACTGGTATTTTTTTCTCTTAAAATATCCGTGGGATATATTTTTTCAACTACGGCTTGAAAAACTAAAGAATGTTTCACCTTTTTTGCGTGCAGAAGAAAAGAAGCATTCTATGCCATCGATCACTTTAAAGTTCAATAGAAGCGACTCCCATTATTAATTAACCAGTCAAGTACATACATATCATGAATGAAGTTCCCTAAAAGGGAGAACAAACTGACCTTGAAACTTTCACTACCTACTGAATAGTTATTGAACTACCCAAGTTATTATCGTTATCATTTGTACAGATAGCATGCTGTTAAAAATAGAACAAAATAAAACCTGATATTAATCATTAAAGATTCCAAGAGACAATACACTGAAGTGACAGTCTAACCGCAGATAACTTCCTCATTTACATTTGCCATTTCAAGTGTACCACATTATACCACAATGGATAGGATGAATGTAATTTCTGGCAGCAATCCACAATTCCACTGCATGTCCATTGACAAAACATTTTACAGATGAACATATGAAGAATATTAGTGAAACAATGAAGCAGCCTAACTGTTACACTTATTTGGATCTATTGGTAGCTTACACAGAGGAAAGTGCCCTTTTCAGTTTATTCACATTAAGGATTTTGTCACTCAAATACCACTGCCTTGGTACATTGCCTGAATGTTAACTGGCACATTTATTTAGACAAAATATATACAGCTCTCCTCAGTGGACTTAAAGCATGACAGGAACCAGTTTATTTCCTCTTTTCAGAATAGACCATGTGGAAACCTAGACACACAGAACAAATTTGTCTTTTAACATCAATGGCTCTGGGCACCATTCCTTTTGTCTCTGGAAAAAGCAATTAACGTCATCAAATTGTTGCCAGATTGAGTAATACAAATGTTCATTTTATAAGTTCAAAATGCCTGCCCACCTCAAATCCCTTCTCCTGCTAAACTCCTCAGGTGGGATTGTCCAAGGAAGGTGCAGGGGAAGACAACGCAGAACCTCATCTGAGAAATCAGAAAAATCCACATCGTACTCCATCAGGATACCTTCTGTCTCTGGCTCGATTTCACCTGCCTGGCCCAAGCTCTTCGCCAGTCGCCTGGACAAAGAAAAGAGAAAATAAGAGTCAAGCACACCAATCATCCCTTAGACATTGACAGTTATTACGCAACCATTGAAAACACAGTTATTGTGGGACAACACTCACCAATGACATTAAAATTATAAGGACAAATTACATGCAGAAGGTACAGATGAAAATAAATAAAGTAAATGTGATAATAAAAGAGCATTTATTGACATGCCCAACTTTAAACTGCTTAGTTTGAGGGCTGGATGTCTAGACAAGGACGTGTCTGTGATAAACCCCACGTTTTTCTTCACTGGGGATGGTGTTGGGGGCTTGGAGGGTGTTAGTGTAATAAAGATGGGGAAACACTGTTCTAAAGACCATAAACTCCCCCAGACCTGGTCGCTGTTGGAAAATAAGGATTGTCCTTCTAAAGATTCGTTATGAACTTCAATAAGTGGTACAACAACATACAGTGTGGAAAGATGTCATTCTTTCTAATCACAAGTGGCATCGTGGCACAAAAACAAAATCAGCATCAGGCATCGTCATGTTTAGCACTGTACCATGCGTTATTGTAAGATGAACAAAACCACGGACCAAACGCATGTTACATACAGTACAGACAGGTTTTGGGAATGAAGCCACATGAGACAGGAAAAGAAAAGCAATGGCTGAGGCCTTCAAAACTTCACATGCAATTGAGGCTGTCAGTCAACTTCACATGTCTCTTCTCGGCTCAGAGCAGAGCCCAGCGTCAGAAAGAGGTCAAGTAAAGGCAGATTCAGGACGACAGATAACATTTCCTTCATATACTGGAGGGGCAATGGAAAAAAAAAAAACAAGCGATGCTGCGGATGTTGATTCGTTGAGACCTTGAACGTTCTTTGATCAAGAAGCGTCTGCATGGCAGACTGAACAGCCTCCTCTTACTCACAACTCTGCGGACGTTCTTAAGCGATTTCCACCTTTCACAGACAGAGAGTACATTTTAAATGATTCAGTATGATACAGAACATTCGTTCTCCGTGGTACATTGGGAAATCTCCATGAATCAGCTCTAATTTTCCAAGCAGGTTTAATTCCAGGCTCCCCACAAATTTGTTTTTATTGATGTTTTCTGGGTAAGTGGCTCAACATGCAGCTTTTCTGGTTTGTCAGTTAGGTCACATCCTTTAAGAAATTAAATGCAGGTTTACATTTTCCCTACCAGAAGCATTGAAGTTCCTAGCTAGGAGAAAGCTGATAAACATACCAGATTTAAAGTGAAACAAACTGCTTTTTCTTACTTTTCTAACAGCACCTACTGTGCTTTGAATGACAGGTCTAAAGAAAAAAGAAAAACATCAGAAACTTGAGTTGGTATGAATAAACAAATTAAATGGTTTTTAACTAAAAAATAATCCATTTTTTAAATTTGATTTGTGCAGTTTATTTTATTTTATATTTATAAGTCTTAATTATGTTACTGTTCAATAGAAACTTTCCTTTTTTCTTACAAACTGTCCTTGTCAACTTGTTAAAAGTAATTTAGATTTTTATGCCAGCTTTGAAAGCAACTGGGATTCAACCCGCAGTGTGTTGAATGTCTTTTAAGAGTCACAAAATTACTTTTTTGGAATTTTCAGCATAACATTATTACTGACACAGTAATTTGCCTTAATTGCACAGTAATTATCACTTTTTACTAAAGCGTCGAACATCTATGCAGCATTTTAGCTCACAAAGAAGACTGACACATCCCTTTGAGATTCTAATTATTCTTAGCACTCAATAGTTGAAATTAGTAACAATGTATCTAATTGCCTAATTTAATTGAGCTGCTGGTATTGCCTGTAAACACCCCTCTGGAAAGGAATCAGACCTTGATTGTTGCATTTGCTTTCAATATTTCAATCCTTTGGAAAGACGTATTATGATATTTCAAAGATAAATGATCAGATCTATAAAAGATAATAATGCATCACTGTTTCATACAAGTACGTGATGTATCTCATGGCCTGGGTAAATGTCTAGGAGTTTTAAAATGGACGCCAAAGGGATTTAAATTAAAAATAAGGCATCTATCAGTGTTTGCTTATTCTGGAGTTTGCAGAGATACTCAATATGACTAAGAGGATTTTTGCCTAACTCCTGGATTAACTGTATGTGTTCATCTTTTGGCTGTGTTCCACAAAGCCAATATGACAACTGCAGCAAGCAGCAATGTTTTCATTTCAGAATGGGGTTGGGCTTAACAGAAAATGCTGAATCACAAATTCTCACTATTGGGAACAAGGTATCTGGGGATCCTGGAGATTTCTGTGGCTTTGCAGAGACAAGGACTACTAGGCAGAACCTGGTCATGAGACCTGTGCCTATCTGGGTTTCAACACTAAAAGAAGTGAACAGGTGTATGAAGGCTCATTCATGAGACCTCACAGCGGCACACAAGGAATGGAGATGGGCTTAACTTAAAGCTGGCAAGATCAAGATCCTGTACGAATGAAGAAAAGGTCACCTGCCAAAACAGTGAATGCTCTTCACCCAAGTTCCCCAAAGTCTTTTGATTTTGAATTGCAAGGCAGCAAATGAGTTTTTGTGTGTCCTTAACATAAATGCGCATCATTCAGAATTGTGAGTTTCTAAATGCATACAGAGAATCATCTGAACAAGCTGCTGTAATTTGTCCCTTCTGCCTGCACGCACCCTTCAGCAAAGTTGGAGTCATCAGGCCAGCCGGTAATGCGGCAGATGAAGAGGGTGCTGGCGTAGTCGCCGGGGCGCGATCTGAAGTCTTCGGGACAGTCGGCCAGCGGCACGTTAACGCGTGGCACCCTGTGGTCGACAGGGGAGAACATGGCGAAGTCCTTTTCTGGCAGGTGCTTAATGAAGCCCGTCACGGCCCGAGAGTGCTTCCGCTCCACTATGTATACCACCTGCAACCAGGAGAAACAGCGTTTCAGCATTTGCTCCAGAGACTAGTAAATCACGGCACCTGGAAACAACAGAAAAACAAACACTTGTTCGACTCTAATAAAAGTTCTATTCATATTATTTAATAATTAAGGAGGTCTACACACTATTGAAGTTTTGCAACATTAACATTTTCTTGTATATTTTGAAACAAATAAATGCAACATCTTACTTCATTCAGACTGCTATATGTCCACTATGTAAATGGGTACACTGTGGGTAACATTGTAAATGAGAACAAATCTCATTGGTTCTCATTTACAGTCTCATCCCAAAGTGTTACAATGTTAAAATAAAGCATTCCTTTATTTAATGTGCTTGCGTGAAGTTGGATGATTCCAAAAACCAAATAACCAGAGGGTCTATCAGTAACCTTCTAGAGATAAGATGGAAATGATTGAAGTGCTCTACCAACCCTTGTTTGGTCCATTCTAAAATGAAGAACCTTCAACACAGACAGAAGATTTATTCACCTCTATTCAAGTGTTCAGCCAAACTCACCTGTTCATGATCTCCGCACCAAAGCGTTATAACATTTTGAGAAGATCTTAAACAGGCGGGTTTGACCGATTTAAACAAATGGCAATTAGGTGAATAATTTGTAAAAACGCCTAAAAAGGCACAACAGCCCAAACATTGTTTCTCCTTTCTATTTTTCAGCATGGAAATAACCTTTACTTGTTTCTTTAAGTCTGAGAACTATTTAAACCCTGCTGTTTTTTGTTTTTGTAGTAGAGCAGATGTGAACCAACATTTGCTCCACAACAAATAATATCAGAAAAAAATCTCTGACCTCTGCGGAACACACAAAAAAAGGAAAATTCAGTGTCAAAGCAACATTTAAGAACTCCCGTTATAAGTTTGAACCCTTTTCTAACTACCCAACTATTTTCTTTGTCTGACAATAATTGACTGTTTATCAATTCTGTACATATTGATTGTGAATCATTAACATACAGTGTGTTTTAATTTTCTAAAGCCTGACCATAAGCTAAAGAGCGGATGTGATAGGCGAAACATGAAATGTGAACTGAATTACATTCTGGTTTCTTCTTTTTAATAATATTCATGGTTGTTAGCTTTCCTTTTTGTGCTTCCATGTCAGTCCATAACCTGAGGACAGTTAGACAAATCTTAGGAATACATTATTCCTCTGGTTTTACTACCCAATGAGTACACAACAAGGCAAAGCACTCTATGTTTTTTAAAGAACACATTGCTAATTGACTGCAGGCATTTTGTAAGGGACTATCATACTAGCATATTTGCATGAGTCTATTTTTTTAACCTGTTTTACTATTCACCATTTCTGTATTTCAAAAGCTGTTTTTTCCAAACAAACCTAGTTTCCAGATAAATCTGAGAAGTTAATGGGGGTGATTTACATTTCCTGAAGAAGATAACCAGTTATGCAAGATTATCCTTTAAAATGCTGTGGAGTGCTCATTCTTTCAAGAAAATCAAACGGTCTTGTCTTAGGAATGAGTTGCTAGGTGTACATATCCCTGTAAAAGCTTTAAAATTATTAGTAAAAAAAATGGGCAGTTTCAATGTCCATAGGTTCAAGGTTTGCGTTTCATTTTAGATACATGTGGACTTGAAATAAGCACATGCCGATTCCTGTTAGGATATCTAGCCTACAAAGATGACATTAATGTCAAAATCTGCCACCGCTTGGGCTGCTGAAGACCTGCAATTGCTTTTAATCATGTATGCAGAATTGCAGGTTACAGCGGACAGGTGTCAATGATAATTAGACAGAATCTCAATTTGTTTGTTGCTGTAAAATGGAAAATGCTACAAAACAACTGAAACATTTCACAGTCAGACATGAAAGGTTGAACTCATGCCTCATACTGGCACACTAGACGGTGTACTAAAGAACACAAAGAATCAAAGTAAAAGATAAACCACTGGATACCAATGCACTCCATGGGGATGAAGACCATATACCAACACTGGAAAGGCCTCCTGCGGTCTCCAGCTATTGCCTTGTAATTACTTTGCTAACCCAATAATGGTTCTCACTCTTCATTCTCTTCCGCTCTACTGTAATTGCCCTTAACACAAAATCAACAGCAAAATGAAAACATATTGAAGCTTAAATAGGAGGTAAAAAGCACAAATACGGCTACTCCGGCCAAGTTATCAATAACTCAACCAGAAGTAAACAGTACTGAGCCAAATGCAGGGCAGGACAGGGTTTTAGCCATTCATTATATGCAAGCAATTTTGTTTATAATCATTTTTAATCTAAGAACACAAAAGCTGCTTAGTCACAGAGCGAGGAGGTCTTGTTAAGATAAAAAAAGCAAGCCTGCTGTAGATTTTTTTTTTACTGTAATCTGTTCTGACCTCCTTTTAAAGGCCGTCACCACTAGGTTTCCTCCACTAGAAGGACAGAAATGTAAGGAGTGTATGGAAGTAATTAATTCTCTTTCCTTTCAAAAACATAGTACTTACCTTCCCAGTCCTTTGAAGAAACTTATCGGCAAGTGTTTGAGGCTCATCTGAACCACAGATATTATCTTGCTTTGAACCTGGGGTTTCTCCATTTCTTGGGCAAGCTGACCCTGAATACAAAAATAACATAAAATAAAATAACTTTTGAATACAACTGATGTCATGAAACAAACAAAAAAAACAATCAGTGAAAGCTGCCTCAAAAAGATATGTCCTAATTTTATTGGGGCACATGTTTTCATATAATCCCTACAGTGTCATGAAAGATCATCTCACTTTTTCTAAGAGCTAAAAGTGTAGAAGGAAAGTTCAGCACCTTGTCTCAGGCCTAATTAATACCTGCAATGTCCCAGACACCTAAGTCTCCTGAGACCAGGGAAAGTGGGAGGTTGAGTACTCAATTTTTCTATGTACACGCAGCTTCTGGCAACTCTGATACTGAACTAGGAGAATGAGAACGAAACATGCCCGGCTTTCTTTCCATATGCTGTAAACTCTACAGTGCCTTATGGGGAAGTTGGAAATTGAGGGGAATAAACCTGGAAACATTAAGTGATGCCTCTGAGTGTGTATTAAAATCTGGGTAAGTATCCCATTACTATGTTGTGTAAATACCAGGACAGCTCCTCATTTCATTTCAGCAAATACACACCGACAATTGTGCAAAGTCAAAAACCTAACACTATTGCTTTTCTACTTCATCAGAACAAGCAAGATAAGCATGGGGGCATGGGAAAAGTAATCATGTATTCAATTAAAGAATGTTGCAATTCCCAATTGTTTCCTATGATGTACTTTCTCCACTCTTTGACTAAAGTAAAAAGTTTGGTTGAAGCCCATCAACAGAAGGAGCTCCAACCTGGTCACACAGATGATATTGATATGATATAACTCAATGATACTAATATCATTGATTAGATATGACTGGTTAATAAAGCTATGCTTTGTTATTGCTAGCTTACTTATATAAAAACAGAAGATTTTCTAATTGTCTAGGTTTCACTTTTAAAATGTGTTAGAATAAATGAAATGTTAAAAATTACTTAACTGAAAATTATGCTATGTTCTCCTTAATTAAAAAAAATAATACTGAATTAACTGGAAGCTTATCATGTGCTACCAGGAATAGACCGAGCGACCATTTTCACACAAGCTTCTTATTGCTTCCAAGAGAATCACTGTGGTCATGACTAGGCTCAAGGCATAAAATACAAACTGATTTGATCATTCTAGCCCATCACACAATCGTATTTCCATACAAAGTTACAGTATTTTTCAGCACTAACCAATTTGTCTTTTAAAATTACAACAATTCTATGACAGGTATTTACTACAATTTTTTTGAAAGACCCTTAGAATTTCGCATTCTTTGGGAAAGTCTCCATTCTCCCCCTGCTTCTGGAAGGTGTCTGGGTGAATGATACCAGGCTTATTTCAGCAGCCAGCTCCAAAAGGCTTAACGAAACACACAAGTGGAAAACCCCGAGAGCACAAGCTCCTGGACATGTTGGGATGTGCTACTCAGAATGAAAAATGCGATTGTCGGAACAGAAACAAATCAAATATATGGTCAAAACAAAAACAAAACAGGCAGCGTCAAGGAAACTGGAATGAAATAAAAAGAATAAAAGTTACCGCTTCCAGAAATAAATCTTTGAAAATAAATGCTTTGAAATAACACAAAGCTATTTAAATTCTCAGTGCTACATGGGCAGAATGCTAAAGAAACAATCACTACAATCTCCTATGCTGAAACACATCTAAGCAAAACATTAGTACCTTAAATGCAAGACATTACAGTTTTATTGCTTAGTCAGTGAGTTCAGCTTTTAATTGCCCTGTCTCATTTAGACGAAGTTCCCAGGAGAACTGAGAGGGTGACAGAACTGTGACACTATTAAAAGAGATTCTGGATTGCATGAATTTGTATTTTGCAGCTATAAAACTAATTTTATTGATGCCCAAGTGTGTCCCTTAGTTCATATGTGCGGAGTTCTGCGAGTCATAGTAGCCCATTAGTAATGCTGTCTGTCCTCGTATGCGCAGCCCTTCCGGCTGAACAATGGCACAAGATTAATTGACTTGCTCTGCTCTTTCTCCCCGTTTCCCGTTGACATCCACAACTACTTTCTGTCAGCTGAGAAAATCATTTTCACAGAGGCACTCCACGACATCCTGCCGTTACAGTCCAGATAAAACTTCAAAAGGAAAAATAAAAGTTCCATAATTCAGAAGAGCAAGGAAACTCCCAGGACGTACAGGGCGGTGAGCAACTAACTTCTATCAAGCCTCCCTGTGCCTTACTTCACGTGACTGCTGCTCCAGTGCAGGTGAATATCGCTAGGTTTACAAGTGTCTTTTCATCTTTTCAGTGCAAACTGCATGTTCTTTCAAACAGGGCTACCCGAGGTGTATGCTATTTGGCTTCTAAGCCTCTGCTGAATGTTTATTCTGATTTAAATTAAAGTCTGTATAAACTGGAAATACTGGTGCACTCAATATTTTTCTGAAACATACCTTAAAAAGGATGTTTTTCCTCCCCCAGTTTCGTCCTTTTCTTAATTCTGTTAAACTCAGAGTAAGCACAATACAATAAAAACTTTTTTGCATGCCTCTCAAACACTATCGGACAAATCTGACTTGTTTCCCCTACTCACTTGGCCATCTTACATCTGTGAATTGACTACTCAGAATCAGATTTATTAAACACACCAAAAATGACTGAAAGGTCAACATTCATAGGAGAAATTTCTAGATGCTCCGACTGGTGTTGGATGGCAATCACAGTGTATGTTACACAATAACAGTTTTATTCTTCAAAGTTCAATGTGCCAGGGCTCCCAACAGAAGCAAACTAAATTTAAGTCGAACAGACAATTCTATATTTCACTACATTTAATTTGCAGCAATGGTTTACTTCATCACAGGTATCTGTCATTAAGGTACTGGATTGCTGATGTTACAGTCAGCAAGGACACAGGCTCTCAAAATAAAACGTTACAGCTTAACCAAATGTGGTGACTCATTTCTCTCATTTCTGCTGCCTTTTAAAAAATAATGAGATAATTGATAAAGCAGATGCTACCTACTTGCTCCAATCTTTCATCCAGTATTAGAAGTTTATTCCTAGTAAGGGTCAAGACAACCTGGAGTATATCCCAGAAGTATAAGGCACAAAGCCATGCAACCTGGATGTCCAGTCCATTGCAGGGCTTGAACCCTCACACTCACACACACACACACACACACACACACACACACATTTAGAGACGTCTAACCTAGCCTGAAAGTCTTTGGGAGGTGGAAATAAACAGGAGCACCTGGAGAACTCCTGTATGGGCATGGAAATAACCTACAAACCCAGGTCAGAATCTAACCCAGGACAGAACGTCAGTAAGGCAACAATGCTACTGCTACACTACCATGTCCCCCACCTACTTACTCCAAGGATTATTTAAAGTACTGTAAAACTCCATATGAAAGTGTGGTTTGTGCCAAACATGATCTCGATAAAAAGTCAAAAAGAAAATTTCAAAAATAATGTCATAATTTCTATAATACCCTTATTTTTAAAGTACATAATCTTCAAAATGAGATTTCAGATCTTTACAAACAGGAAACTAGTATATATTTGACATTGTATGGCAAGCAAACGGAAAATTATCCTTTCTTCAAATCCTAGAAATCATTTTATTCTCTCCTAGCAGCTATTTAAGCTGATTGGCTTCATTTTACTTACAACTGGTCTGATAGCTGTCATTTCCAGCTACCTTTTCTGTTTATAATGTGCTTGAGCACCGGTCTGAATCACTTCACAGAAGGACTACAATTACAGTCATTAATTCCTCGTTCATTTTCCTGCGGATTTGGCAGTCCCAGGACTCCGACTTTATTATAGGTCATTTTTTTGTGCTCTTGCTCTAGCTGTTTCACATGCAGCACTGCAGTCTGTATTCATACATTACCAGATGTTTATTTGAGGACTGGGCTTAAACTCTTCATCGTCAATTAGGTACACAATTTTGCACACATACACTGAATACATCTGAAAAACACAAAGGCCTTTTAAAACAACTATTTCAGGCACATACTAACGACTGACATTACAATAAACTGACAGGTTTCTGGAATCTCAGAAAGCATTGTAATGTCACAAAGCATTTAAGATCTCATAAAGGGTTATTCATGACTTTGTCTATTAAATCTTATTGCCATTTTTTCATGCTATGTTGGGTTACAATTAAAGGGAGCGTATTCTAAACCTGAGAAAACATCCTGTGGCCACCTTTCGGAAGAGTACTCCCATCAAAGCAAAAAATTGGTACAAAGCAATAAATGAATAAGTTCCAAAACATGTATAAGTTCTGAACTGTCATCTTTATCCCACCCTTACTGCTGGCAGAACGGGACATTAGTCAGTCTGACCCACCCTCATGGAATATACTCCTCACTGAGCAGCAGCTGTGACACACTTATAAGGGGGTCACATGAACTACACCGGGGGGAGGCTCCCAATAAAAGAGAAATGTCCTCAACTTGTCTGGTGACCTATGCTAAGAGGACACATTTATAATAGTTTTTTTGATCAGAAAAAAAAACTTCTCAAGAGCTGTCAGTGTTCCACACTCTGCGAAAGATCAGAATTTCCACATGTTAAGAATAAACGCTTCCTTTCAAAAACACAAATTGTTGACAATCACATTCTCCAGGGCCATATGTCCCCCCCAGTTCCCATAGCTGTGGGAACTATTCGCCTGAAGGACACACAGTACCAGAGGTAATTCCCACCCAGCAGAGCAGTCCTGGTCAGCTTTGCTGAACAAGTGCTCAAATTAAAAGCACTGTATTTGCTATTGTTTCAGTCAGACCTCTGAGTATATTGAGATTTCTATGATAAATACCAAAAATACAAAAATAGTTTTCATTACAAACATAAGATTATACCCAACACAAAAATATATGTCAAATAATTCACAGAATTATACACTGATTATCAGTTATGATTAACAAGAACTGTTAAAGGGCAAAAGAAAACATACCTTTGTCTAATAATTTTGAATGCTTAGAGAACCTAACTTTTTCACTTAGCTTATGGCCAAACTTTTGCATTAAAAAAATCCACCACAATAACCTTGACCAGAGGCAAGGTCCAGTCCTGGTGCTGGAGGGCCAGTGTACCTGAAGGATTAAAGTTCTCTTTAGAGCAGCAGAACTTGAAGAGCTCAGAGGAGCTGTTAAATTGGTCCCATTAAGTCAGTAACCATCTGGTTTAGCTCATTAAGAGCCGAGTTGGACTGAAAACCCCAGTACACTCCAGTCCTCTGGGAGCAAGACAAGGTCACTGTGCAAAAGGGTTTGTTAAACTTTAGATCTGTAGAAACAAAGAGAAGATGGAACTGCAGCATGATATCAAATCCCTTGACTTTGCCTCACCTCGAAGGGCTTACAGATACTCAGAGCAACACCAATGGAAATAAAATCTTCTGTCTTGTCAAAATGATGTAACTTGAATCGAAATGGCCAGTGAGGCAACAGGCATTTACATAATCAGATCCCAGATTCTGCTTTCCAGCTATCAGCTGGTACTAATTGTAAAAGGAGCTATGAACAAACTGAACAATGTTTAAATTTAGGAAATGAAAAAATATGCATTTTAAATTAGAAGCACTCCCCAATAACAAAAGAGCATTTGTTTAATGGATCGTTTTTTTTTTCCCTTTCAAACGAGGGTCAGTTTTACTGACTGTATGAAGGGGGTTAAAGGAATCGATCTGAACATCAATACATTGTTTCACAGAAAAAAAAAAAACATGGAAATCTGACAGAATGCAGTGAAAACTGAATTTAGCTCCATTTTAAAATCTAAAATTTCATTATTCTGGTTATGGTATAGCACAGAGTAATGGAACATTTCAGCATTCATAATTACTGAACGATGAAGGAATTTTAAAACAGATGCTAAATGAAACCTGGCAAGCAAGATGTTTAAAGAAACCCAATCATTTTTCTTGGACAATCAAGTATTTCAGAATTTGTCAAACATTTATATCCTATACACAGAGGTTTATATGAATGCACCTGTTTAAAACAAAACTCTCAAAAAGTCAAAAAAATAAAAATAGCTTGTCCTTCCACCACCCAAGAGCATTTATTAGACTGAGACAAAATATTTTTTTAATTGAAGTGAATGCAAAGAGTTGTCAAATTACAACAAACAGATTATTTTTGGAATACCATTAAATATCACACTCAAGATGCCTTAAGTCACACTTGGCCTCAGAGAAGAAATGAATTGTTAATCTGGCACTTGCTTTGCAATCACTTCTTTCATCTTGCTGCTTTCCCTCAATTGTTTCATGTTCTAAATCAGAACTGACACTTTGGGATCAGTTTCAATATTATGCTGTGCCTGTCACAAGCTATTAATTAATCAACCACACTAAAGCTATCTAAGAGTTTCTGGTATGCGAGTTCTGACTTACCTACTCCCATATTTGCTCTAAAATGAATGTGTGCCTTAAATGTTATACACGTGTAAGCTTCATGATCAACTTTTAAATCTGACTTCAACTAATTGAATTATTTATAAATATATGAAATGTCTTTCAACAATACAATTCTGCTGTGTTGTTTCATTACAGAAAACATACAGTAGACTTTATCACCGTGGACATACAGCAGTACCATACACCACTGCTATTTCTCAAATAGTACTTAAGCCTTGATTCTATTTGCACCAATGTCCTTACAACTGAGGGTTCTTCTGGCAAGACCTCACACCATACATAAAACAAAACCTGGAAAGGTTTCTTCATTCAAATGTTTAAAAGCCAAAAACATTTTTTAACAAGACAGCTCTTACCAATTGCAAGAGTCTAGTTAAAAAATAACATTTCCTTTAGTTCACTTCAACAACAGAAAGAATAATGGAACTATACGATATTTAGATTTATTATTGAAATAATCTAATTCCACTCCCAACATAACTGATAAAAGTAAAAACTGTAATGGGAGCAGAAGGGGAATTAAGAGAAGTTTGTATTACTTTTACTGAATGAGTAACTATTTGAGATAAGATATGAAAAGGGAGATATCTAGACATTGTGAAAGTCCCTGACAACACATCATATTATAGCAAAAGCACAAGGCTGACCTTCCTGTACTGCTCAGCCACTACTTCACTGTCCAGACTAATTAAAGAAAGACAGCACACGTGCACACAAACACGAAGACAGCCCTGGGAAAATTATTACATCAGGGTGTCGACTCATTTTGCATCACAAGCAATGAACCTCTTAGAATGACTAGAGACCTGCTACCAGCCTAACCACCTTACAGATAAAATAATGAGAGCCACGTTATTCACAGTTCACTAACACTTCCGTTGCAAAGTTGTTTTTCCTATTATTTCACATGTTTACATAAATGTAATAGTAACTAGAAGACACTGATGAGTCGACTGTTAGTCAGTGCCTGGTGAGAACTCTATGAACCTTGTTTAAACAGGTCGTATCTAGATCTGATGCTGCCAATAAAAAAGCCCCAGGTTCTTAAGTTTCAAGTTATGTCACTTGCAATGAATCTGTATCTGTACAATACTCCAACCTTAAAAAAAAAACTTCAAAAGCTTTTTTTAGCAATGACTATTTTGTCAGTTTAAGATGATTTAAAAGCTTGCAACAGCCTGTACCCTGGTTCAAATCCAGGCTGACCCTATCAGAGTGCTGGGGGCCAGGAGGAGTGACCTGCAATCACCCAAGCTCGCTCTGCCTTGAAAGGCTAGATCCAAACACATTTGGAGAGAGCCTTGTGTCAGATTCTGAGAAACTGACTAATAACACTGGATATGAAAATGAATGAGGAAACAAGCTAGGTTAAGTTATCACTTTTTTTTTTTGTTTCTTGTTATGGCACGTACTGTAATTGGACAAGGCAGTTCTCTCAATTCTCAGGGTAACACCACTTCCCTTATCCTCCAATTCACAGGATTGGAATTTAATTGAAACAGGACCATGTAATAGTAATGCAAGCTTTTTGTTTTTTTTTCTTCCAGTTGATGGCCTAGCAGTGCCTAAATTTTTAAATAGCAGGTCTTACAAAAATAGAGAACTGAGAAGAGGGAGACGCTTCCTGAAGGGAGGATGGGAGGAATATGCAATGACGTGCCTTGTGCTGAAGAAAATCTTTTGTAGTGATGAAATCTCCAATACAGATGTGTACACTCACTCCCTGCTGTCTGCATACTCAAAAATAATATTGAGGAACATGGGCGTGCTGTGAAACTCACCAGGAGTGCTGAGGTTTAATGGTTCTATTCTGCTGGCAAGCAAATCAAGGGCTGATTCCTGGTCGTCTCTGTCCAACTGCGCTTCGGCGACAACGTCAGGACCGTGCTCCTCCTCCGCACATCTGCCCAGAGCAGCACCCACACACGGCAAAGGGGGCTCGGCGTGGACCTCCGGCTCTCTCAGCCCCTCCCCATCGCCATCCTGCTTTATCACCTGCACGGCAACAGACACAGAACACCGTCATCACGCAAAAAAAACACAGAGCAAAACAGATCGGCTTCATCCGGCCTGGATCTGAGACTGGCCTCCTCTTTACTCAAGACTACTGTTGAGACAGAAACCTATATCAAAAACCTGGATTGGAGTCAGATAATGGGCAAAAACCCATCAGTTTTAAAAACTGCAATATTGTTTTCATTTCCTGTTGGATCGTTTTATTACGGTCATGTCTATTCTGGACACTTTAGAGGCTCACTTTGGTTCTACACCATTAAACTGAAGGGGAAAGAGAACACTCCTCCAAAAAGACAAGACACTTTGATTTCAGTCAGCAAGGATAAGAAAAAAAACTGAACATGGCCAACTTTTGTTGTAAAACTTTGCTCAGGGTATATTTACTGTCATGATTACAACCATATCGGAAGATAAAATTAATTTTAAGTCTCTTTTTTTTCCCCTCCACATCACTGATCCTGCAGATACAGCCACTTACTCACAATATATTTTGGAGAAGACACGCAATCAAAGAAATCAATATGCAAGGAATAATCCACCGCTCTCAGATTATACAAAGTTAAATTACAGTGTTTGTTCTACAAAACACATCCAAAAAGTGTTACTTCCATTTGGGTCTAAATAGGTTACTTATTTATGGTTCATTTATATCACCCCGAGTGGCTGTCTCTTTAGCCATTGGGGGACTGAGTTCAAGACCTGCAAAAGAAAAAAAGTTTTGGAAGTCCACCTCACAAAATTACGACCAAGTTCAACCTAAAATTGAAAGGCCTGGGGTTGCTCAGGTCAGCAACAGGACTCAAGTTTACTTGGAAAACTCAAGAGAGGTCTGGCATGGTGCTTTTTGGTCTGCCAATAACCACCACCACAACGTCTCACTTTTCAAGAGTTCTAAATCTTCCCATGCTGAAAAAAAATCATTGTCGATGATGAAAAATTCTTGCTTTGGCATTCAAAAGACAGAAGAAAAACACTTTCTTTCCTGCAACTGCAGTAACATTACAGCAGAAAGCCTATCCCCTACTAAGGCAAATCTTTCAATGTTGACATGCTAAGCTTACTTTGTGGTTTTTCTGTTTTTCTTGGACACAAAATTGTCCGGGAATATTAGTTTCAGCAAGCAGTTATTATTGATGCATAATTAAAAATAACAGGGGAACACCCCAAAACAATGTTTCATTTAATGAACATTCTGTTTATGTCTTCAAAGGTGAAGTTACTAGGTTATATTAATTTGCTGCTATCAGTTGCAAATATTCTTCCCAATCTCCCAATACTAATAAACAGCCATCACCCTGACAACAGGTAAATGAAAATTCAGAATGAGTTTCATCCCTCATTTCTGTCAGTCAGTGCAATGTTCTTTTCACATCCATTCTCAGATGTATAGAAAACCTTTACCAGAAACTATGCACTTATTGGAAATGACCCGTAAGTTTTTGTTGGCCTTTGAAAATTACTCTGCTAAAAAATGACAAAACAGAAAAAAACACTGAACACCCATTCATAAGAACTCACACATATTTAGCTTGATGCCAGAAATTATGGATGTATTACAGAGCTATGTGTGCTGTTTCTGCACACAGAAGCTTAAAAATAATAATAAAGAATTGTATCAATATTATTAACAGTGAAAAATAAATATTCTGATAACTGAATTCTGCAGAATTTTATGGACATATAGACATCACTGAGTATCAGTTAAGATATTAAAAGGTACACAAAAAATTACAAGAGAAAGGTAATCTGATTTTGTTTCAAATAAGAAACTTATGTGTACAAATACATTCGTTAATGATGTGTTGCAAGCCTCTTTAAAATCTACTAATGTAAAGACACTGTAAAACTACTGAACTTATTTTAATGAAATTACATGTTAGAATGTTTGGCAATTAAATTTAATAATCACCACTGATTTCATTAAACCGTCTCAACAGTTCCACATTGGGTGAGTGCTAAATTTTAAGGAAATGTCAGTTTATGACACACGGATTTGAAATTCATCTTTCGTAATTTTAAAGATTAAGAAAATATACAGCATGGGGCCTGTTTTAAGAAAATCCCCTCACTTTTCTTTTCAACAAAAAAAATGAAATCAGTTTCAGATGACTATGACAGGATATCCAAGAAATTATTTTTTTTTCTTCTGGAGATCTATACTCTAGAAAAGAAAAAAATAATCCTTACCAGTGGTAATTGGACAGTATAAACATACTGTGTCGTCAAAAGAAAATTCTCCTAATAGCACATGTGCACCTTCAGCAGCAATTACAGCTGAAACAAGTCATCAATTCTGTAATTTGCTTATTGAGATACGTGACACCTCTCTGGTCTTCTCTCAAGTTCTAAATTTTGCCTTCAGCCATTTGTTTCAGCTGATTCCTGCAGCCAGGACTGTGCTTCTAATAACTTTTTTTCTGAATTAGTCAAACACCGTTGATAAACAGTTAAGACTGTCAGACCTGACATTAGTAGTTCAGGTAGGGAGCTACGTCAGCATGCGTATGCTGCAAGGGAACAAGTTAAAGGTTTATTCCATGCTGAAAAGAGAAGAAAGACATTAGCCAGGTTTGATGTTGCCTTAAGCAATATGTCAAAGGCATGCACACTTTTGGGGTGTTAAGACTCTTCTGTGGATACCCTGGAAATGAGGAATGAGGAAAATTCCTGTTCCAGGTTACCCATCATTGAACTTACCACTTTCTAATACTCCCTTTGGTAGGGCAATGCCTACAATTGTAGCGGCTGTTATTCTATATTTTAAGAATGAACTCACCTATGAATATAAAGGTTTGGAGAGAGCAGAGAAAAAAGCAAACCAAAGCTTTGTCTCAGAGTTACCCTTCATTGAGGTTTAAGTGGCTGTTCACAAGTGCGGTCTGCGGCTATTTTAACAAACTCTTCAGAAGCTGAGAACTGCACACCTGGGACGCAGCACACACTGCTAAGGAGAAAGTTGTCAGCCAAAACAAGCAATAGAAATTTCCAGTTAATTCGCTGGTCTGCCAAGAATCCCTTTGCTTTTTCTTTTTTTTAATGAATAGCTCTAATTGGATCTTTTTATTAGAACAATTTATGTAAGTTATCCTAAGAGACAACTATTCAAGTGAGAACTTCCTCAATAGGGCGTCCTCCATTGTACTTTCTGCGGATATTTACTTAAAAGGAGACGAAAATTAAAGCCTGATAGTGACAATTTAATAATGTCTTTGATGCACTGTTCTTTCTTACATCCAGTTTGGTGACTAGATAGCACGATCCCTTCCAAACCCCCACACGTCTTACACTTCTGACCTGTCTCTAAATCCGATACTTTTAAAATTCCCCAGACCAATTAGACAAGTAAGAGTTCTACTTAAACTCGGTTAAGACACTTCCGCTACTATACCAGCAAATTAAGAAAGAATAATGGATAAGTACAGGCAGAATATGGCCAGATGGTTTTGCCTTTTATTTATATTTTTCTTCACTTTCCAAGAGGAAAAATAAGGACATTAAACTTTGATTTCCAAGAATGTTCTGGGAAAAACACTATGGTGTTTGATTTCAAGCGAGAGGTTAAAAATGGGAGCTCCAGAAAACAACGGCAAGAAACAATCACTAGTCACAAGTTTGCAAATCCCAAATACAAAAGAACTTATATTTAGATAAAACTCTACCGAAACTGTAAGTAAACCTAAAAGATCAGCCAATCTGACACCATCATCTTAAGCAGTTGCTTTACACACACCTAAAAGTTTTACTAGATACAAAACTGAGGACTCAGTAGGAGCTCTTCCAGAAATAGGATTACCTGCTTACAGCTAACTTGACATTTAGAAGAGAGCTGGATATTAGGAGTTTAAAAGTGGGTGGGGCTTCTTAACACACAAGATGGAACAAACAATAGGACCCATTCTTTTGGCTACTGATTAAATAATACCTTCTCTTATTTTACATCTATAACCGTACATTAAAAACTAATTCACATGCTTTGTAAGAAGAGACTTCAGAAGACAATGGCTGTGAGGACCTTTACGAACACGGCTTAATATCACACTCAAATAATGTTACAGGACTTGAACTTTCATTATTCTAAGTGGTCAAGTCCTGATCTAAACTGTGGTAACTTTTTCATAGTAGTGTGAATGTAACTTATTCAGTATGTGTGAGTACAGCCAGCACTAAACTCTATTCAAAGGTACTGAAACTATGAAAAATAAATATAGATAAAAGCCTCTCAAATTTATCACTAGATTAAGAGTTTTGAAAAGCACACATTTATAACACTTTACACCATGAGTTAGAAATTTAAGAGCTCCACCCCCACCCCAAGTAGTTAAATTCAACTAGCACATCAGAAACACTTCAGTTACTCAATACATAGTTAACTTATGACATGGGCTTGTTAAATTACATAACATATTTGAAAGAAACAGTGATGATCTTAAATTTTTGATCAGATGAAAAAATCCAGCTGAAAAGCCAAGAAAAGGGACATTGCAAAGATTTTGTCTGAATTTTCCCTGAACTTGCCACAGAAGAAAGCAAATTTTAAAGACAGCTCTGAAATATATGTCCAGGATGAACAGAATTATTCTAGAATACATTTTCTGCCTAATAGCATACGTAATTTATGAGAAAGAAATGCTTGAATCTTTGTTTCACATAGACATTTGTATATACGTACAATGTTAAGAGGCCAGAATGCTCTGTTAACCAAGCTGTAAATTACTGGTTCAAATATTCACACTTTTTGAGGACAAAAAAAACAGAATAAATATCATAGTAGGAAGTCTGAGAAAGTAAAACACAAATATTTTGTTGATAGAACCACTTTTAAAAACTCTTAGAAACAGGATTGAAAAAAATTGCCTAGATGTCAGTATTCAGGACAGAATACCAAAAGTCATCTTCACATGTTATCACCTTACACTGCCTGTGTAATTTGTACTAAGTTTTCTACATAAATTATTTTTAATATTAAAATTCATGAGATA